AAGTAATTTTCACTGTTTAACATTACAGCAAAAAGGGGGCCAGGTATTCGTTACATTTCTCAGGTTTAGAGACAAAAAGAAGAAACTTTACCATAGTTTTTGCCAAGGTACTGTATTACAGGCATCCCAAAAGCAATCTTTCTAGCAGCATTACAAACTAAAACGTGGACTAAAAATGTGAGTTTTATTGCCTCTTAAAATAAATTTTATTATTTACTTGATATTTAAGCACTCTCCTTATCTGAGCTTTTGCACTGCAAAGCGCATCCAAGTTCCTTTAACCACTTCTGATTTAATGACAGATTTAATAACACTGCAACACAGAAGTGTGGACTTGGAAAAAAAAAATATTTCATAAAAATCTGATGTTTATACAGTAACATCTAAAATGTCACCTAATGCATACAAGTAAAGCCGAATTTTTTTAATGTGTATTATAAACTCAAGGGCTTTGATAGGTAAAACATCTACTGTCTTTAAAAGGCCATAAAGACAATTTAGTTTTAATAACCATTTTTATTTAATTTTTAAAAGAGCAGCAGTTTATGCCTTCAGTAGAACCATGCCCTGAAATCTCAGGGGTGATTAAAGGGCCATGCTAAAGCTGAAAGGTTTCGAATATCAAACTATACTATTATGTCAGGGTCAGCAAGATCAATTAGCGCTTTCCAATGACAGAAAAAGGTTAAGTTGAACACACATTTGCGCAATATCTAAATCCAAAAAAGAAAAATCGCACATATTAAGTTTACTTATAAACTTTTAGATCAATGATCAAATATCAAAACTCTTCTTCCACTTGCATAGCATAAATACCATTTTTTTTTACAAAAAATATCAGAAAGACTGCAGATACATTAGACAGCAGAAATACTACTAGATTGTCAAGTACAAAAAAAAGCAAAGACATCTGAGTGTTTCTGCTACCAGACTCAGTTTAGTGCTGAACTTCCAGAAAGCTTTAAAAATACTTGATCAACTTGACAGATGTCTGTTAGTCTGATGCCCTTGTGTTTGCATTCCTCCTCCAAACCCTCACAGTACCAAAAATGAATGATAGGGAGCAAATAAACCTACTCCTATGTTCATTTAAAAAACAAATAGAAAACTACCATACAGTAAACCCACACCCACTCCTCAAATTAAAAATACTAATCTGTAAATTAACTCATCTTAAATCTGGAAAATACAAGTGCAATTAAAAGCCATCCAGAAACATGCACACCAGGAAGCAAGGGAACTTACATTTCAGTTCTTAGTATCACTAGAACACTCACTGGAAATAACAGGCATGTTAGAAGTTAATTCAACACCTGTAAATACAAATGTTGCTGTCGTAAACATAGCTTGAACAAAGTACCTGGTTATGATATCAAATAAAGCAAACATAAAATCGCAATAAAAATGCAGGAGATTAACAAAAACTATAGACGAAAGAACACTATGTTGAAATCAGCAATTTAGATTGGAAATGCATTATTTTGAGTAAAAGCAAAGCAAGATTACCTTTCTTCAATGATATATTTCAAAACGTCTCTTTTTATTTAAGCCCACTTCTCTATTTCTTCAAGGAGTGATTTGAAATATTTACTACCAGACAGTACCTAATTTTAGGTTTTAAGTGCTTTAACAGCTCTATGAAATATGATCAGCAGCTGCAATATAGAAGTATGCTGAATAAACTCTCCTTATAAAAAGGGAGACCTGTTTTACCCTGAGTTCATAAAATCCCTACTTTCAAGAAGGAAAAAGATAACACAGAAAAAAATAATAGCTGCGTCCTAGAACACTTGACAGAAATTCTAGGAATTTCCTTCTTCTTTCTGTATTAACTTTTGTACTTAAAAGGAAAAAGCAGTTTAAATTTTAAAACTGAAGGATTGCACAGAACATCGTGCAATGCCACCAGTACATCAAGGAAACAGACTGGTACCTTTCCCACACCAAATGCCAGTGTTTAACATTAATTCTAGGACTGGAAGGCAAAAGTTGCATAAAGTTTAAAGTGTTAAACTGTAACGCTTGCATCAGATGCTAAAAATATGCCACAGGATACTATCTATAGCTGTATTTCTAGTTACCTTGTTTGAAATATTTTAACTGGAAATTGCAATTAACCGGAAAACGACCGTCGTCCTACTCATTACATTGCTTGTTTAGAATGTATTTATTCCATTGGCATTACCCATACAGAATAAATTTCTATTGGAAAGTGTTGTGAAGCCATTAATAAATACAAATCCAGCAAGAGTAACTGTCAACCAAATTTATTAGCAGTATAATCATATACACATAACAATAACAGCATACAAATTATCTGAACAAAGATACATAAAAGATTAGCCAACAAACTCCTCTTTCATTTCTATTAGATTTGATTGAAGAACATCTGGTAACATAAATACCAGAACTTTCAAAAGAAAGCAAGAAGAGCTGTTTCAGACACAGCCCAGCTAATGTTAGATGTCAAATATAGAGGAAGAATCACAGAATGACAGCGAAATGTCAGTCTGTATTTCCACTTTACTCATAGTATGATACATACTGCAGGTATGCAAGCATTTGTTATTTAGCAGCATTTTCAGAAATACAAGGAGGAAAAGTCAAACCCACAGCAATTTTACGAAAGTTTTCTGTTGAGCGTTATGGAAATGAAACAAAGATATAGCTTGAGCTTTAATAGAAAGTGCATGCTTCAAACAACAAACTCCGAGGTCAGACCAAAAAATATATTTACCATACAGGGGAGATGCCTCCTTTGTATAATTCACTCTAAATCTAAACTGTTGATTAGTTTATCATAGATACACTTTCTAGTCTACGCATGTGAAACAAAACCCAGAAAACCGTAAATACTGTTTCCTTACTGTTCTAGCATGACTTCACGCTTAAACTCGAACCGGCCAAAGCGCTCCCTTGTCTCGTACAGCTTGCCTCCCAGGATTTTTCTAAGTACCAGCTATTTCACACCGCCACCCGCGACTTCAGCGTGTCCCTCCGTGTGCTCCGTGTGCTCGGCTGCAAGCCCTGCCCGCGGGTTCCGGGCCGGCAGCACCGCGCCCGCTTGGCTCCGAGCGGCGGTTTCATAAATGTAAATGAAACTTTAGATGCCAACTACCGATTGGCAGCAGCGCTGCCGTGGAATCCCGCTCTCCCTTCTCGGAGGAAGGCGCCGCGGGGCTGCTACCCCGCGGGTGGGTGCCGGGCGCAGCCCCGGGGCACCCCTGCGCCCGGGAACGGCGCGGAGCCCCCGCGGCTCGAGGGGAACAGTCGCCGAAGCCGTGTGAAACCCAGCTGGCGGTTCTCCGCGGGTATCTGATTTTGGAAGTGTCTGTAGTGACAGCAGGAGAAGGAAATTAATGGCTATGAGCCCACTGGGTTTGAACACGGAGAATCCTGTTACCTCCTCGCGGATCAAGTACGCGCGCACACCCGCAAACACACAAGGCTTCCCCACGTGGAAACGCTTTCTGACCAAACACAAGACCCCGCATCGCCGGTGGGAAGGGCAGCGGGACCCCCGCGCCGGGGCTTTCCCGTGGCCCAGTCCTCCAGCGGGGACCCGCGGCGGAGGCGGGGACGCGGTGGGCCGACCCGAAAACCCACCGTTTTGTCCTTTAAAACCACAAGAAAAACAAGCCGGGGCGGGGGAGGGGAAGGGCAGGAGATATCCCTCAGGGAAAGGAAACAGAGAGGAACAAAAACAACGGGCAACTCTGTCCCCGCTCCCCTCGGACACTGGGAAAAGTGGCTGCCGGAGCCGCCGCAGCGGCTGCCGGCCAGGAGGCAGCAGGAGGCAGCGGGAGGCAGCCTTGCCCCATCCGCCGGCACCCAGAGGCAGGCGGGCAGCGGCGACCCCCGAACGCTGCCGGCAGCTGGGGCAGCGCGGGGCCGAGGGCGGGCGGCAGAACCGACGGCTCCTCTGCCGCCGCCGCCTGTGCCTGCGGCTCCCGGCCAGGCTGTCTCGCCCCCGCGCTGCCCAAACCCTGGCTAGAAGGAACGGGGGTTTCGGGAAGGGGCTCGCTACCATCCCTGCGTGTTTTCATGTCGCTCTGGCCGGACGGGGTTCCCGCCGCCAGAAATGTTGTTTCCTCCTAGCCTCCCGTCAAGCCGCCGACGGCCCCGGCCCTCGCAGACCGACCTGCTCCCCGCCTTCCCCAGGCGGGCCAGCAGCCCCCGGCTGCTCGCGGGGCGCAGCCCGGGCCCTCCGTTTCCGCCGCTACGGGGGTGGGCGGGAGGCGCAAGCGGGGAACAATGCGACGGCAGCCGTGACGGCTTGCGGCTGTCTTGGGGCTTACCCCGGCAGCGCCGGTAACAGCTAGCCGAAGAAAGGTGAGGGCAAAACCGCGGGGATTGTCACCTGGAGAGAGGCAGAAAATCCGGCTGGGCGTGGAAAAAGTCACCCCGTTCGCACCGGAGACCAGTCTGTTTTTTTGCAACTAAACTCGCTTGGGGCCGGGGGCGAAAGCTCCTCTCTACCTCTCCGTTGCTCCTTCCCATCATGTTGTTTTACAGTAACTTTGTTGTTGTTGTTGTTGTCGTCATCGGACCAACACGAAAAGAATGCTAAATAAACGCTAAATACAAGCACATGCACACAGACGCCTCCACGGCCACATGCACATGCGACAGGGAACCGGTTTCCTCCACCTCCGAGCAGAAGAGGTGGGAGGGAGAGACGGGGACGGCGAAGTCAGAGAGACACTTACCTTCTCGCTGCCGGGATATGCCGCTACCTTTATTTTAGGGCCGCTCCTTATGTATTTATTCTCGTACCTTCTCCGAGCCGAGGCTGCCCTTTTGCACTGTTCCTCTGGCAAAAACAGAACATCCCCTCTACAAGTTCCCCCCCCCGTCCGTTTTCTTCACACACAAATAAAGCGCAACTCGGAGCAAAACGGGAGGGGAAATTGGGGGGGGGAGGGAGGGGGTAGGTGGAGGAGGCTGGTACGGGAGAATCCAAACACTCCTCGCACTGCAGCGAGCGCAATTAGTTGCCTCTCGCGCACAGAAACGTAGAAAGTTTCTCTGGCAAGGGACGGGACTTTCCTAAGAAAAGGTAACCCCCTCCCGCTCTCCCGCCCAGAAAGGCCGTCCCGGGAGCGCGGAGGTAAGGGGCGAGGACCGCGGGAGCCAGCGCAGTCCCGGACGCGCCGCTTCGCACTTGTGCGGGGAGCTGCCGCCGGGGCTGCGCCCTGTTCCGACCCCTACCTCAGCAGGGCAGCCCGGCTGTCCCGTTGCCCACCCGCCGCCGCCCCGCTCAGCCCTACTAAGCCCCGCTGAGCACGCCTGCGCTGCCGCTGCCCCCGGCCCCGGCACACCGCGGCGGGCACGGACCGCCGGCTTACCCGGCCACCAGACAACTCCAAAGTGTCTCTCCTGGCCTCCCGGCTTCGCAGCCCGGGGCCTGGACCTTTCGCCTTTGCTACTCCCTGACATCTTCAGTGAATAGTGATGGGAGCAAAGGAGAGGGCCCTGAAGGGTCACAGGTTGACAAATGCCAATCCACTCTACTACAGGTAGTGAAGTCTACACTTGACTTTTTCCATTTGTTTCTTCTACAAGAAACCAGTACTATAAAGCAATCCTGACTTTTTGGAAGGACTATGAGTGTATGAATGATCAAGTGCTACACAACAGGAGTGGTTGGTGTACCCTTTTATAGGATGCATTTGTCTCCTTGTTCTCAAGCTGGCCAGTGTGGATGGAGGAAAAGTCCTTTCCTGCTCTGAAACTGAACGCTCTTTTTTGCAGAAAATTCAGCAGCTCCATATGGTCCTTTCTGCTACTTAGTGTGGGGAAGCGGAAGAAAACCTCTAATTGCTTAGTCACATTTCATGCTCTTACCCTTCACCTTGTTTTATCTCCTAAGTGTTATTTCATTGCGTGGATTGAGTGGCTCTTGTCCAACCAGCTGCATCACCCTCTTTTTGTCAAGTTAACTTCACTCTCCAAAGGGTGTAAGTAAAAAATTTAAAAGAGGAGGCAAAGTTAGGCCCTATAGCCGGAGAGAGATGTGAGAGAAAACTCTTGGTTTTCAGAAGTACTGAATTTCAGAAGCTTTTGAGGTCAGCAAGTCATCTGAAATGGGGGGGGGGAAGTATGGATTTGTGAAGATTGTTTCCTACCTGCCTTCTCTTTCCTTACGTTGCATTTGGTGATACTATTTAAAGCATAACTTTACTCAAGCTGTTTGCCTTTGAATTTCATAATTTGCGTTCAATGAATTGTAGTAACATGGTCATCTCTTTCCTAAATAATTTCAGGCTTAAGACAACTAAATCTTCATGAAAACAAGTCTATAAAAACCTTGTACTTGCTGTCTTGGATAAGTCACAACTCAGAAAGATAACAGACTCAGAAAACACTTTTGACCTACAAAAATACAACCAGAAAATCTCTTAAACTAAAAAAGCCTCCAAAAGCCAACCTTCAAATTGTCATAGCATGGGACAAGCCAGAAATACGAAATGAATTTTGAAACTGAGAGCTCAGAGAGTAACTGGAAGGGTAGAAAACTCAGATTTGTGGGAATAATTGTAATTGACAACCCTGCCACAGACTAGGTTGTGACTAATGCCAGCATGCATCTTGCTAACAGGCTCCTTCAGCGTGGAAACATGCTAAGAACTCCTTCCTTTCTAGAGGACTTTTGTGAATGGCAGCGCAGTGGTCTAACCCAAGGTATTCAAACATGGTAATAATGAAGGTCTTTTGAAGTCTGGTTTCTTTCCACTTCAATGAAGCAAATTCCTTTAAGGGGAATAGTACCCTAGTAACATCAGTTGTTTTAATAGACATAACACTTTAAAGCAAGCTCTTAAACATCTGTTGCACTCTCTCTTAAAATGTAAGGTACAACTGACTTGAAAAGATTGCGTATGTCTTTGCTCAGTGTAACTTGCTTCAAATTGAGGAGAGATGAGAGGGTTTCACTGTTGTTACATGGTATGGTCTCAAGACAAGTCTCCCAGTAAGGGGCCTGGTCTTGATGTCGTTGGATCACCTTGCTATTTTGGTATTCATTTTGGTGAGAGTGAGCGGGGTCGTACCAAAAGTAATGAGTGTTTGGCCTGAGTCAAAAGGGACTGAGGGGAGTCCTACAGAAACTGATTTCTTAACCAAACAATTTTTCACAGTGATTTATTGTAAATGTGACTTTCACGGGTAGGAGTTAAATGATGATTTTGTTAAATCAATGTCTTTGGGCTGAAGTAAATTCCAGTGAGCTCAGTGGAGGTGATTTCAGAAGGCCAAAATATAGTACAATACACTGTTTCAAATAAATTGACTGTGTGTGACCATGGAAAAGGTCATGCTAGAAATAGTCCTAAGAGAGCCCAAGGAAGGTCTGTAGGGCCCATTTTTACACCAGAATAGAAGAATAATACCTTATCCATTTAAAGCAACATGGGAATGTAAGTAGGCAAGATGTAATTATCTAGATTGGTGTTTGGCCAGGCACTCCTGCACTACCAAAAACTATCAGGGTGTTTAATGTCCATAAATGCTCAGTATCCTTGGTTTTACCTCTTAAATAAAGGCAGCACTTGTGATCATATTGTTTATGCTGGTTCAATACTGAGTCAGCAGAAGAACGTCACCTTGCACAAATACCCGTTCACACAGTAACTTGGAATTTCCTTGGAGGTCTTCCATGCAAATACTATAGACCCAACCCTACTTACCTTGGGAAATCTAGTGAGATTACAGCCATAAATAGTATGGCTCCAGAGAATCATGTTTGCATGTGTTGCTAAAAACAATATGGACTTAGAAATATTTATAAGTAATTTTTAAATTAGAGCAATATTCTTTTACATTGTATCTCAGTAACAACAAGATTTTGTTGTTGTTTAAGCAGAGGGATTATACTTAGTTATTCTGAGAAAAACTAATGACAGACAGTCACTATTTTGGCAATGTATCATGTTATGATTTATTGAAGTGCCTACCATATGCTACATCCATTTACCTGTCGCAATTTTTTTACAAAAGCAGGGCTTTGAAATATGGCTTCTTATTTTCAGATTCAAGTATGAAATCCAAAGGCCTGTTAATTAGGCAAAGTGTGTTGATCTATATACTTCAGGTTATTATTGGTGCTTCATGGCTTTATAGTCATGAAAAGAAAGAATGAATGGAGGTTCTTTTGACCTGGTTATCAGATTTCAGGTTTAAAAAGAAGGTGACACACCCTTTTCAGTAATTCGACATGCAGGGTTCAGCTGTGGGTTCAAAAACAGGTTACAACTGGCTAGTCATTGTGCTCTTGAAATGCCAACTGTGCCTTTAAGTATGTTATATAACCTATTTTTTGGTTTCAGTTTTCAAGTATGGCATCATTTCAGTGTTATTTGGATTTCCATATATTTTTTAATCCAAACAAATCTGACCTCAATCATAAGGTTCCATGGCTCCAAATAGCTGGGCTTTTCTAATATTTTATTTTGAGTGCCTACGTTCAATACTTCATCACATAGATATGTGCTGCAGACTGTGCCAAATACTGTGCCAGGGATGTCCTCAATTATCTTCAGTGCTTACCAGGAGAGGGCTCTGTTCTGCATACCATACACAGAAGGAAGTCCCGCTGAAATTAGTACGGGTTTTGACTCTAAAGCTTGCTTGAAATGAAGCTGGCTAAGTGCAAATGAAAACTTACATTATTTCAGCTACCTGTGCAGGCGGAATGAGGTGTGCTTGATAATCTTAATTTGTATCCTGCTATTACACCAGGATCTTTTCTCCCTTCCTGGGAGAGACCCAGTCTGCATCCTGCAAGGTACCTTTCTGTCATGTTTCATGTAGGTTTCATGAGGTTTCATTTAAGTAATCTACAGAGCCGACCCAGAAAAAATATTGGGCCATACATTTTTGTTTAATGAACTATGTTTTCCTTGATCATTGTGGGATACAAAAACTATGTCTGCACTGATCAGGGACACAGATCTAGCACACAGATGTGTTAACTTACTTCTTGGTGTGGTTTTGCTCTCATCAGTTAATGTTCTCATAAAAAATGCCCTGGTGGAGTTCCTAGTGCTTTGACTAGTCCAGGCATTCATCCTATGCTGGAGAATGATAATGAGAATTTTGACCTTTCAGAAACACTGCTCTGACAGATGGCCTCAGGTCAGAGAGCAATCTTCAGATAATTTCCTAGTGCAGATGTAGCCTGAAAGTTACTCTTAGTCCTGTTCCAGAGACAACATTAGGTCAGGTTCTTGGGGAGGTAAGAGAACTGTCAAGGCTGGCATTACCTCACCTCCAGAGCCTCTGGCACTGGGGGAGAACTGAGGGTGTGCCCCACACCCATCTATGTTTATTCTGGCTGTAGAATTTTGTTTCAGATTTCATTTAATCATAAATAAAATAAAGAGTAATCCATGGATGATTTATAAAAATGTGAATATTTTAATCTGTTTCATTAAACATTAGTGCTGCTGCGTAATGTAATTCCTTTGAATTTGCTTTTTAATCAGTTTCATGTTAGATGTAGTTTCCTCACTTTTTGATTACTTCTAGGAATTTCCACCATATTTTAAAACTTTTCTCTGGTTATTTTTATCCATTTACAACATTCTTCAATGGAATAACTGATATGGCTACCATGCTATTTTTAAAGATCTATTTAAAGCATCCTCAAAACCTGTAAGACATAAACCCCAGCATTTTGAAAATGGTTTTTGGTTACGTATATAGGTAGCATAAACCAAAGACATAATTTACTGTCATTAATCAGAAATGGTCTGTGTTAGTGAGTAGTTGTGTTTGTTATTCAACTATCAGCATGTTGAGGTTTCCATTGAAACCGATAGTAAACCATTCATCAATGTCATTGTCAGGAGGATTGAGCTTGTTATGCAATAAACTCAAATACAGATTCACACCAAGAACTTTTTACTACACTGTAACATCATATTGTTGCTGTATTGCATTATAGTATAATAACATGTAGTCAGTAAAGAATTATTTGCCATAAGTTTTTTCACATCTTTTATAGAAGTAAAAATGACATTGCCAAATGACACTACAAATTATTACCATTACCATATATTACCATTACGCTAAAAATAACTCTGTTACTTCCAGAAGCATAATTGAATTCAATTCTCCAGTAGTACAAGATTAAATGAATTTCAGGCAATTTCACTCATTTATTTGCAGGTGGTGTGCAATAGAGGAAGGAAACAGAAAAACTAAAAAACGAAAAGCAGAGATTAAAAAAAATTATGCCAAAAGTATTTGCAGAAAACCTGTTTTATTTCAAAGTACAAGTTCCTTTTGCCTGTTGAAATGTTCAGTTCAAAGACTAGACATTTCTGAACATGTACTTTATAGCTCCAGTATAATCTATAAGTATATATAGATATAAGCTGCCAGTTTATTTGCTGCACTGTCATAATGGTAGTAGGCAGAAAACCAGGCATAGTATTTAGGGATAATCATCCTTCCTTTTCAGAAAGTGTTCCAGTGTTGTCTTGTGTTGGGGTACTCCTGACCAGACTCTTCAGGTGTTGGTTTTTGTGAGGACCTCATCCTGAATCTCAGAGATATCAATTAGAAATAAGCTGATTCGGTTATTTTAAGGACAGTTATTTTAAGGACATTTAAACAGCAGTTGTAGAGGTCTGTTTTGTACATGACTGTTAGTTAATCCTGAGGTTACACTCCTTATTAAATCATTCTTTATGCATTTCAATATTAAGATGTCCAGCAAGAAATTTGTTCCATTCTGATTGTGAAATAATAAACATACTCTGAAAGAATCACTTATGTTCATGGTTTCTGCATTCTTCCAATGAGTCTAGTCTTTTATGTAATATATTAGTAGTTATTAATGTAGTTATTATATTTACATTTGGTTACTTATTAAAATTTACTCATAATTTATACATTCTGCTTGAAGGTCTTACTGTACTTTTTAAAAACAGAGGTAGACACGGTCCCAGGCCCAGGGATCTCACCAGCTAGTCCCACGTAAACCACGCAAAAGAAGTTACTAAAAAAATTTCCTCTGGCGTGATCATCCACTGGTTGAAGTCAATGGAAAGAAGCACTTCTATTTTAGTATTAACTGGAACATGTCTTGCTGCATATCTGTAGATTTTGTGGGGACATTAGTACTGCAGTTACACTGGACTGCATAAATGACGGAACAGTCTTTCAGCAGAGAAGTAACTGATTGTTTGATGTACTTTCTGAAACCACCAGCTCCACATTATAAGCAAGGTAAGAATATACTAGTGTGAAACCAAATAAGTTCATATAACCTTGTTTCATCTAACATAACAACATTGATATGTCAAGAGTTGTGGGAGTTACCTGAGCAGCAGTCAACCGATTTTCCCACATCAGACAAATAGAGATTATGTGCCTTCTCAGTTTCATTTTTGGGGTAGAAGAACTTGTCAAACAGATTGCTATGTGTGATTGAGTATCGATGCAATGGTACATGCACATCTTTCTCTCCATTAGTTTGCAGTTAGGCAACAGCTGTCCTGGGACAGGAAAAGGAAGCTTTTGACAACAGTCTCCAAAGCAGTCCCGAGTAGTTTAAAACAGAAAGCAGAGATTCATCAAGGTAAATATGCTTTCTTGAACCTTCATCCTTCCTCACTCCTCCCATTATATTCTTCTTTTTCTAGTAACAAATACTTTGCATTTTTTCAAACAATTAAAACCAAATGGCGTAGGTTTTGCCAAAGCTGCTAAGTTGTTCTGAGACCTACAAGTGGCTATTTCGGTTCTGGTTTCAGAACATCTTTGCTATTACAGTGAAAAAGAGAGTAGAGGAGATGGACACAAGAGATGTGGACTGCTGATGAGAACAAAGCAACTAATGTAAATCTCCACTGCTTGACCTATAGCACACCACTTCATCTTCACCAAAAGGTGTACAAAGTACTCTTCCTCCTCCCGTTTTGCATTAGTTGACTACACTTGGGACTGGCTGTGAATGTGAGTGCTTTATTAGCATTTGAATAATCTGTACTGCTGTGCAAATGAGACTGAAGATTGAACTTCATGGAAAAATAAAAAAAATATATATATTCTAAAAGGTGACAGCCTGTGTTTCATTTTCCCTGCTCCATATCCTGTTCTGGCAAAACTTTTCTCCACTTCTGACTTAATAAAAGCATATATACACATTCTGAGATTTTTTTTTAAATGCACATTTTTATTATTCACACTTTTGAAGCTCAGAGAGGGACCAATTTAGAAGGCCTAAATTCTGGGAGAGTTTTGTTCTGGAAACAATTATTTTTGTTGAGAACTATTGATGAGGTGATTACCTAAAAATTCAGTGGCAGGAAATTGAAGAGGAGGCAATTTCTGAGTTTTGAAAGATCATCAATAACAAGTGAAAACAAGTCAGGTTTCTCCATGGATTGTTTACACAAGAGTAGTTGTTGATAAATGAACTTCAGATTGGGTATTAGAGGTACATAGTGTGCAAAGTGTAATAACAGTTTTACTGCTCAGAGGTTGTGAAGACTGCATAATTTATAGGCAATTTACTCAAGCATTGCAAACAATTAGTAAAATCCTTATAGCAGTCCTCCTCATCGTGTATCCTGTTAATAATATTTTTTTTAATGGGTATCCATTTGCCTTTTGTTTTTGAAAACAGGCAGCAACTTTTAAAATAATTTCATTCTATAATGGAAGGAGTTTAACATTACCTATGTGGGGATGGGAATTAATAAATAAATATTTTGATGGGTAATATAAACCACAGTTATGATGCTCAGATGTATGATATCATGGCTTTGCTCTAAGTGTAGTAGTTAAGACATGGAATTACCATAGTTGGCAGCGAGAGGAGATGCTGTTTCAGTTGTGTAAATATGCTGTTATTTGTGAAAAGTCAGAGATTAATTGACTTTGATGAATTGATAAGGAGGAGGGCAACCAGTGCTGGAGCCCTTTCCTCGTTCTGCCAGGTTCCAGATGACGTGGCAGAGAGGTTTTCCTGCATTCCTTCCTGGTACCTTCACTTCTGAAGATGAATGGGAATGGCGTCGATGTCAAGAGCCAGGAGAAAAGCAGGAATGCTCTTGTATCAGATTTGCCTTCACCTATTTGAAAGTTTAAAAACCATTTTGTCATGGTTAAAGACTTTCAGGAGGAAAAGATTAACAGAGGGCAAGTGAAGTAGTAAGATTACTCAGGTGTTCAGGAACCTTCTTACTTGTCCTGTTTGGTATTGTGCGTACTGCTGTGAATCACTTATAATGTGAAACAGGATTTCTAGTAGTGAGAAGAACTGCTGAAGTAACTAATACTTTCTTTAAAAAAGTATTTATTACAAAAAGGTGTTTGTTTCAGCAATTATTCTCAAGTGGAACAATCTGGAAAAATAAAGCAATACGGCCCTGACATACCTGCTAGCTCTCTATGGAGGAAGTATGAAGAAACAGGCCTAAAGAACAAAGTTAAAAGAGATCTTGGGTAGGAGAGAGTTCTTGGTCTGAATTCTACTGAAGTTCTGTAGTAGTTGCAGCCTGTATTATTATCTGCAAGAAATGCCCATGGAAGGAGGAATTACACTGTTGTAGCAGCTGAATTTGGTGAAATGTATAATGCTGAGATAACAAGGTGTTGACATTGGCCCATACCTTTTCCTCTTGTGATTGCTTACTGTTTGAAGTGATTCAGTATATATCATATTTGTATGCAAATATCACACTTTTAGTTTGTACACAAATGCTTGAGAGATTTATCATCCTTATTATATTTAATTCTCTAAATTATATGTGTATTTCAGTTAAATTAGAATTTCATGTCATTTTAGCAAGATTAATAGATAGTTTAGTAATACTTCACATTTAACAGAGTTTCCTTAAGATTAAGGCACCATTCTTTATGCCCTAATTTAATCTCTTGGGAACTGCCAGTTCATTTTCTGTTGTGTTTCTCTGGATTTTTCATTTTAGTTTTGGCATCTTCCACTCACATTGTAAAATGATTCCATTAGTATTGTCAGAATGTAGAAGTTGTGTTTTATTAAAAGAGTACTTAACAGCTTTTTGATATTTCCCTGGCAATTATACACCCGTGATGTAAAGTGTACACCTTGTAATATGCATAAATATTTCTAGCACTATTTTATAGAAAACAAGGAAATAAAGCATGAATTATTACTTTCAGGAAACTTCAAATCTGAGTTTGCAGAGATCCAGAGCTTTGGTTACCCAGGTACCACATATCATAAGGCTGTAAACAAATCCTCTGTCAACAGAAGAGGCAGGTGGTGAATGTTGTGAGCAAGACTTCTTGCACCTCCACAGGAATCCTAAGCTAGTATTCTCCCTAGTGCTTGGGCAAGTTGTAAATACTAAGTATATGAGAAAACGCACATGTAAGAGAAGAGGAAGAAGAAAACCACAAATACGTAAAAAATAAATCTTTCAGATATCAACAGGTTTAGTGACTGTTTCATTCTCTATATTTTTATTATAGTTACACTAAAATTACTGAAAGAGGAGGGTAAGTTTGCGGCATGGGAAGTCTTAATTTAAAAAAACCTTCTATCAGCTGTAGTACTGGCCTCATGACCCTAGGGTGGTTATCATCTGACAGTGTTGTTCTGGAAACCAGAAATTGATGACTACCCTCAGGTTCCATGTCACATGCCTTGTGGTAGCTGGGCTTGGGGACCCTATGGGAAGAGTACATTGCTGTCACTCCACAGTGGTCTTTCTGGCTAATTAAAGAGGAGCACTGACGAGCTCTGGAAAGAGTCCTGACAGCCCCCATTAAATAGAACAATTTGACATATTACATGAGTCCTGTGGAAAAGCTTTTAAAGAAAGAAAAATCAAAGATGGGCAAGTCAAGTCCACACAAGGTTAATGGGATGATCCTACAGAGGCAGCTGAAGTGATGCTGAATATGTTACTGTCTTTGCCTAGCTTCCATATCAAAGCTTTCATATGTACCACAGAGATTTATACAACTGAAATGAACACTGCTGTGGGCTAACAATAGAGACTTCCAGATTTATTCTTGCTTTGGGAAATAAAATATGTGTCAGTCCAGGGTGGGGCTCTGTTATATTGGGTGTTACATGACCATGTAATGAAAATGAAAGAACCTTCCTGCAGAACTTCAGATTTAAGGGTGCAGGAAAGCAAACGTAGTAGAAAAATTAAAATGCTTCCTAGGGTGAAACAATTCCTCAGTACCAGTAGATGGAACAGAAACCATGCCTCCTGTCAAACCCTCTGGTACGTCCTGCACCCTAAATATGAGACATATAATAAGTAGGAATTTTCATTCTCAAATTATTAGGCTATTTTTTTTCTAATTTTCAGAGTCAGAGAATAAACTGTATCTCCCCTCTTCCCAAATGCAGAATTATCTTCTGTTTTGTATTACCTCTTGAAATGTCATGGACCTCTAGGCTTCCTTCCTGTTACAGTTGCCAATAACTATTAGCATGAACACATTCGACAAAGCTGCACTTAATGTAGAAAAAAACACAGACTGTTTGTGATATTAGCAAAGCAGCTCTGTCAAAATAAATGAACTATCATCATGTTAGGAAGCAAAGTGAATGGAGAGAGTCATGTATGTTTTTGCTACAAGTAGTGACTGTAGCCTTGTAAATATGTATTAACTAATTTAAAAAATCACGAGGATAAAAAAGTAGTAATTTACATAGATGAACAAACCAGCACTACATGACTTGAGCCACATGCTGCTGTATACTTTCTGTTTTCAGCAGAAAGGGAGATCTATCATAGGAGCAACCTATCTCTCTAAACATAGAAGTAAGGAAAACACCACAAATAGTGAAATGCCTTTTCCTTATTCTTCTCACATACCTTCTTTGATCTACTTACCTTTTTTGAGTCAGAGCAAAGACTAATGGCACAACTCATAAAATGAGAAACTGTCCATATCTAGCAGATAAACTGGATAAAAGTTCATGAAACATAAAACTTAGGGCACTTGGCTTCATTCATCTTGTATTTCTGCTCAAATGATGGAGGAATGAGGGTAGAGGATTGAACAAAAAATGGAAGTAAAAAAATTCTGCCCTGGGTTAATTTATGACTAGGGTTGGTTTGTTTGTAGTTTTTCAAAGCACTACTAATTTCCTCAAGAAGCTCGAATGGTCAAGACAGCTTGCATAATAGAATCATAGAATCATAGTATATACTGAGTTGGAAGGGGCTGATCACGATCATCGAGTCCAACTCCAGGCCCTGCACAGGACACCCCAAGAATCGTACCATGTACCTAAGAGCATTGTCCAAACGCTTCTTGACCTCAGACAGTCTTGGTGCTGTATAGTCAATAGTGCACAAGAGACTTAAAGAGCTGGTGAGAACTGGCTCTTCAGCCTGACAGTCTGACAAGGTACCTAATTTCCTTAGCTAACTGGAAGATTGTCCTCAGCATAATTTAAACTCACGCTTCTGGAATGACAGCAAAATAACTTTTCCACCCTGCTTTTCTAAATAGATGCTTCTACTAAAAATCTAGAGTCTTTAGTTACATAGTCCCTATCTCCCCATTATTGCTGTTACCATGTCATTTTGTTTTCTCTGATATGGATGTTTCTGATTATAAATTAACCTTGTAAACCAGTTATCCTAGTTCTTAAAATCTACTTTGCACGGCGAAAGGCTATATTTGGTTCCTATATTTGGTGTAAGATGTTTAATATTTTTGTACATCTTCTGATACTTTTATTGAAGCTGAGATTTGTCCCCATTAAAATTGCTTTAAACAGACTCATTAAAAATCCTTTTAAAACCAACAACACATAATTTTTAATGTGGAAAAACTCTTGAAAACATACAGTTCTAATTGTTGGTTTAATCTAATTTTTCCTGTGGTAAATTAATAATTTGTAATTTTATGAACACTGAAGGTCCTGGGTGTTTTTCAGCCTTCATGAAAGTCTTCATTTTGTTTTTATAAAATATAGAAAAGTTGTTTTACTCCTAGGACTGTGCAGCTTTTTGTTTTCTTTCTCTTTCCATTTACACAACATATTTGGTTATTTTACCCTTCAACACAAAAAGCTGTTTAATTTCCATCTATGCACTGAACAGTCTAACTGGAAAAGATTTTATAAATTCTTGTGTTTAACTTTGTTTTTTTTTTTCCTTTAATTTAAAGTCAGAGATTTAAAAAAATAGAAAGAGTAAACTCACCATGAATTGTTTAAATATTAATGAACCCTGTTTTTCCACATTTCGCTTATATGTAAAAAGTGTACACCAACTTTAAACAACTGAGAACTCAAAAGCGCTACTTGCTCACTGTCAATATTGTAAAGATCTGTAAATATGTACAAGTTTGAAGTCCACAAAGAACTGTGAAAGCCTACAGAGCATACACTAGCCAAAGTCTTCTGTTTACCAGCCTCTGATATTGTTTTTATGTTTATAAATTCACTGTTAACTTCATGTTTTGCCACTATTTCTCAGAAAAACAGATTAAACATCCAAGGCACATGCAGGACAAAGGAGGTGATCTGAGACAGCTAACACAGCTTCAGTATGGACAAATCATCCCTATCCATGGGGGTGGGGGTTGGAACTAGACAGTCTTGAAGGTCCTTTCCAACTCAAGCCATTCTGTGATTCTATGAAACTAAAGACAAAACTTTTGCTTGATAAAGACAAAAAAAAGAGAAGGCAGGTTCTTTATAGTAGTACTTGAATGCACAGTATACCTTATGCTATGGCTCTTGAAGTGCTTTGATATTAAGCTGTTTCTCAATCACTTCTACAACATAGAAGAGAGTGGTCCTTTTATTAGCTTCATTATGAGTATCAACAAAAAAATGCACTGGATTAAAAGTATGACTGTTCTAAGAACTTTTCTTATATAACTGTCTTCACCTATTAAGTAATTTGGTAAAAATGTTGCATAAGCAGTACCCTCAAGAGTGTTCAGTTGCCCTTAAATTAGAGCACTTTTCATCTCATATCACAGAGATCCTTGCGCTAGAACCTGAAACACTTTCTGTCCCCAGCAACCACCATCACCAGGCCCCAAGATTCAGGAGGAGTGTTTCTAGTAAAAGGTTCAGCAAAATCAGGAAGTCTGAAAAGGTCTGATAGGTTTTCTGGAGTGAGGTACATAGCTACTGCCCTGATAACCATACCGAGATGGCCAGTCATCTTTTGCCAGCTGTTTGGAGAAGAGGGTACTCAGGACCTACGAAGTGATAGAGGACTATACATTTGGAAAATGAGCAAATGCTGATCAGTAAGGCAGCCCTGATCTTCTACCAAAACTCAGGCCAGATAGTTCTATAGCTTTAGCTACATTAGCTCTTTTCCTGTGAACAGTCTCCTAGATTTCAGTGGATTTCCTTAGACTCTCTTATAGAAGCAAAGCAGAATCAGGCACAGGAGAGAATTTCTTTTAAATCTCCACTTTATTCCTAAATACTTTTCTTCTTGGAGTATGTAATACCATAGGACAACATTTATATTAAGGGAAGCTTTGTGCCATGATGGAACTGTGAAAACAGACTTCAAAGGCATATCATTAATATTGAAGAGGTTCACCACGGAGGTACTGCTCTTCTCTCTAATAAGCAAGTCTGAAATTGCTCTGAGTTGTGAAGGAAGATAGATTCCACATTAGAAGAAACCATTGAAACCGTGAAGACAAGTGCTAGAGATGATGTTTAGCAATTTCATTTGTATGTGCTTGTGGAAGCAGAATAGGATGTCCTAGCACCGAAGGGAATCTTAGATACATTTCAGAGAACACTTATTTTTAAAATTCTCCTAGTGCTGGCGAAGCCTGAGTTTATGGAAGAAAGTAATACTTTAAATATTGATTTTTTTCCCCCACTGCATATGATCCATAATACTTAGAAATTAAACAGTCAAAGCAAGAACCACTTACCAGCAATTGTCTCAGAAAAGGAATTAGCGTAACATAGCAGCTCTGAAAAAAGAAATTAAAACCCTACCAGAAACACAGGATAGGAAGTCCTGGGCCACATAAAAATCACAGGCAAAAATCCCACTGACTTCTGCTGGATCAGAATTTCACTTAGCATCAACTTAGAGTAGACAAAACTAAATTATCTATATGCTAGCTAGGCCAAGATACTATAATTTACACTTGTGAAAGTACCGTGCTATTGATGCATCAGCATATGTACAGTGCAAATTCAATATGTATTTTAGTTAAGATAG